CAACATCTCCAAAGTATGTTAGACAGAGCCTCAGAATCCTTGCCTCCATGGAGCCATTAATTACATTACTCAATTAAAATTAATGCTAGAAAACAAGGTATCTGTAGATGATTTTTTAACCCCCCAGTATGATTTATAAACTTTCAGTTTAAAAAAAAAGAAATTGAAAAAACGAAACAGATAATGGATGGGATTATAATTGCTTTCTCAAAACCTCGTGGCTATCAAGTCTATTCCAGTTCGTTGTGACCCTCCATCAGGTTTTGGGGCTGTAAATCCTCCCTGGAGGAGAGTGCCCCTCCTTCTCCTGAGGAGCTGCTGGTGGATTTAATCGAGCAGAGCCGTGCACCTTCAGTTAGCAGCACACCTCCCTGCAGACTGTGTCTCACAGCTCCTTAGGGCTGGCGTGCCCACAGGTGAAGTGGGCGCTTTTTAAAAAAATTTTATTAATTTTAATGAACATTTACAGAGATTTTGGGGTTTCCATTCTTTCATTGCTGCACTATTTTCTCTCCCTCCCCAATTCATTCCTCTTTTTTCCCCCCTTTGAAAGTCTGTTTTAATTGTCCATTGCCACAGTGCTTGTCAAAGCCCGTTTGGATTAATCTCCTTTGTCAGTTGTCCTTTGCCATTCCCTATCACTCCTCCCTGAGAGAGACTTTACCCTGATTCATAAGGAAAAGGGGACGGCGTATTCTCTTAGCTTCTTCCTGCTGAAAAGGTACGCTGTAAGTTTCAGGGTGAAGATCTTCTCTCACTACTCTAAAGGGCCCCTTTGGCAATAGGAAATACGTAGACTATTGTGGAGATTGATTTTGGAATTTAGATGCACTGTTATCAGTTGTGCTTAGCCATACATGTTCCTATCCTTGAAGATGTATCATGGAACTGTTGCAGCCTAGAAGACACAAATTTAACAAGTTAAAAGTACATGAGTCAAAAATTAAAAAGCAATAATATTCCAAGTAGAGGTTCTAATAGTGGCACAAATCAAGTTATAGAGGAAAGGTAGTTCTTAAAATAAAAGGCCTATTGACTAGCACTTTGTCTATTATAGTATAAAGGTTAGGAACCGAGGCTCAACTATGTCATTCATTGTTCTTAAGTCCTGGACCAAATTCCATCTACCACTGGGTGGTTTTACAGCTCGAAAGTCCTCATGAAGGCAGAGGTGAAGTAAGGAACTGCTTATGAGGTTTTCCGTCAATTCCAACAACTAAGAAATAGTGAGAAGAGTTGGAACCTCAGAAGGCTTTTAGGACCAAATGGTAGGCTCTTGTGTCCAGGAGAAAACAAATATACTTACCAGTAATGTTAATGCTCACCCACAGCTCTTCTGGGAGGATCTAAATGGTTGAAGTGTCCTCCTTTGTTTCCAGCTGGGAGCTGGGGCCTGTCATTTCTGTCAGCCAGGAGGACCTGATGTGGGCTGCCCTTGGCCAAGTGTCATGACGTGGGCTTTGACAGGTGTATGTGCCCTGCCAGGCGAGTGGCAATCAGGACCTTAGACATCCATCTCCAAAAAGGCTTTTCCAGCCCTCTGCAGTTACACACAGTGCTGCCATAGAGACCCCAGAGCAAGGATTAGAATAAATTCGATCAGCAGAAAGGTATTAATAACTTTGATTTTGAAAGGTGTTAGCGCACTGCCATCCAAAGAGAATGCCTCAGTTTATGTCCTGCGAGCAGGAGTGGGGGCTCCAAGGAGGCTTTCTCCACGTGCTCAGCAACTCATCAACCCCTCCGGGAGTGAAGAGAGAGTCTCCTGTGACTGTGAAGTCCGGTGTCTTTCAGTATATTTATAGGGCATTTACTTTCTTTTCCTGGTCTTGTACATATTTTGCTGCTGCTTGACCGAGTGTGTGTGTGCGTGTGTAAAGTATTATCTTAATGCAGGGACAAACTTTCTTTCACACGCTTTGAGCATATTGTCAGGGGCACCAGGCCTTGGAAAAAGACATCATGCTGGGAAAGGTCAGTGGGAGAGAGGACCCTCACTGAGGTGGACTGACAGAGAGACTGCAGCAGTACCTTGGGCATGGTGGAAGTGGGGAGGATGGTACAGGATAGAGCGAGGCTTCGTTCTGCTGTTCTCAGGGTCACTGTGAGTTGCAATCGGGTCCACAGCACCTACGAGCAACAAGGGTGTTGTCCCTGTGACCTCTGGCTTCCTTTGGCTACCAACTCTTCCCAGCCCTGCCCTCAGCCCTCCCTCCCGTGCCCTGCTTTCTATGCTTTTCTGTAAAAATTACAGCTGCCCACCGAGAAGTGTGTATTCACTTGTCCCCAGTGCACCTGCGTGACAGTGTGTTCATAAGATCTGTGGGGGCGGGGCAGGAAGCTTCGGGCCTTGAGGAGCCGGTGACATTGCCTGGTGACATTGCCAGGAAGGCTTTCCTCCCGAGCTTGGGGATTGGTGGGGTTGGACATGCCCTGAGTAGATGAGTGAGTTGTGATGCTCTCTAAGCAATGCTTTTCTCTCCTGGCAGGAGCACGTTCGCCGTGGACGGGAAGGACTGCAAAGTTAACAGAGACGTGGAGCGTGTGCTGAAGGAGTTCCACGGCGCCGGGAAGCCCATCGGGTGCGTGTGTGCTGGGGTCTGGCAGGGGCCGGTGCCACTTGCAGCCTCTCTGGTCTCCAGCTGAGACCGGGCAGTAGCGGAGGGAGGACCAGAGCCTGTGGGCTTCAGTCGGAACTGCTATGCTGGGCTATTTGGTCTGAAACTCCCTGCCCCGTCTTGTCTTGACCACCAGCTGAGGGAATTTCTTAGACTTCACAGGTGCTTCCACACTGTAAATCCTGACTTTCTGAGGAGGCCTCAGTTCCTCCGGCTGACTCTCAGCGTAGGGGGGATGCTCCACCCCCCTAGAGGCCATCATCAGCCCTGTCATCATCCCACAGTGTCAGTAGTCAGCCCCTTCTTGACCCTGCCCTTCCACTACCTCCCCCCACATTCAGTCAGAGCCCCTGCACTGCAGACCCCTCCCCTACTGTTTCTGCACTTGTCTTCTCGTCCTTGGGGGTTGCATGAGGTGGCCTGCTTACACACGAGGTGCGTGCGTGCCCAGGCTGATGTAGACCATCCCACGGCTGAGCTGCGCGGTAGCTCACAAAGCCAGCGGGCAGGGTCATGTGCCTGTGGGTACTGACCTGGGCCTTGGAGACAGGTCTCATTGATTCTGTGGTCTCAGAAGCTAAACTTTGTGTGATGCCTTGGGTGGTCTTAGCACCCTCTCAGGGGGTTGGAGAAATCTTTTTGTGACAAGCCACTGTAAATACACATCACGGAAAGGCAGTGGGTGCTTGGCTCACCTCAGGCCAGGCCTGATGCTTCCATCTGATGGCTGCTCCCAATGACTACAAACCAAAAATGAGGCCAAAGTAGAATCTCCTGTCTGCTCCCCACCGGTTCCCCGTCTTCTACATGCCCTGTTGTTATGCCTCATGAACCTGCATGGTCACTTGAGCGTGGCTGCCTCTTCCCAGCACTGTCCCGGGGTCCCTGGCTGAGGGCTTAGCTCTCCTCTCCGCGGCCTCCACCCCGTGGCAGGCTCTCCGAGTGTGAGTGTCCTGCAGGACGGGGCCCAAGCACAGCTCTCCCACCTGCTGCTCAGAGGTCATCACTGCTTTCACCATATGCCCCAGGCCACAAAGCTTAGGACGACCAGCTCATGGGGCAGAGGGAGACTTTGCTGGTTGGAGGGGCTGCAAGGCACCTGTGGTGGTCGGCATTGATGGGTGGCCTCTGGGTGCTTTGCTTCAGATGCTTTAGCCTCCACATTAACCTGCCGGTGTCACCCCTCATCCTGCAGCCTGTGCTGCATCGCACCGGTCCTTGCTGCCAAAGTGCTGCGTGGCGTGGAGGTCACTGTGGGCCACGAGCAGGAGGAAGGGGGCAAGTGGCCATACGCTGGGACTGCAGAGGCCATCAAAGCACTGGGCGCCAAGCACTGTGTGAAGGAGGTGACCATATCCTTTCTAGAAGCTGAAGGTGGGCTCACAGGGAACAGGACCTTGTCCAGGGCATACATTTCATGCATGCTTGCCCCAAGACCTAGGATTTTGAACCAGGCTGTGACATGGACAGAGATATATATCAGAGATACCTCTGATGTCTGATAGCACAGCTCTGCCGGAGCCACACAATCTCCCCAGAAAGGATTATCACTGCCATGTCATTTCTGTGCTACTTGTTCAGAGGACCACAAACGCCTGGTTAGAGTCCCCCTGACTGGCTGGGCTCGTGGAACCACTGCTCACCCTTTAAATGGCTGGTTTCTCTCCTACTGCTGAGAGTGTGTCAGTCAAGGCTCTGGAGGGAAACAAACCAGTAAGATGTGTGTTTAGAGATGTTTATTTATTTTAGGGAATTGGCTCTTGTGGTTGTGGGGACTGCTGAGTTCAAAATCCATAGGTCAGACCACAGGCTGGAGATTTCTGCAGGTTTGTGTCCCCAAATCCATAGGTCAGGCAATGGGAAGAGTAAAGAGGGAGTTTTAGTACGATGTCCATTTATAGTCTGAAGGCAAAACACACCGTGGGGAAACTCCATCTTGGTTCTTCAGGCCTTGGCTGCTCCGAGCACTCCTATGCGGCGAAGGATGTTGTACGTAAGGTTTAGTCCCATTTAACAGTTAGCCAAGTTGACAAGTTGGCTATCACAGTATTTCATTCACATCAGAAAAGAATTCTATCTTGGTTAATAAAGGAGCGGAACCTCACAGAAAGTGGGTGCTTTTTCAGTAAAGGAGCTTGCACCGGAAGGCTCGTTTGCCGTGATAGTAAGAACGAGGTGACAGAAGCTCCGAGTGATCTCTTAGGGCTGCAGGGTGTGGCATGGGGGATGACCTTAGTACTTTGCAGCTAGTGTTCCCTCTGTTTCTTGTCAGAGGACATTTTTTCCATAACTTAGACCCACGAAGCTCACGTGGATCAGAAAAACAAAGTAGTCACAACCCCCGCCTTCATGTGTGAAACCGGTCTGCACCACATCCATGATGGCATCGGGGCCATGGTGCGGAAGGTGCTGGAACTCGCCGGCAAGTGACCTCTCTGTGTGAAGGGCCACCTGGACGTGCCTTTTCAGCCTGCCAGGGCCGGCTGGCCTGCTTCCGTCCAGCCCGAATGTGGCAAGAGTTTGTTTTGCTGCTTAAATCTGTAGGTATTTTCTACCTGAAAAGCAAGCTGTGATCATTTTAATGGCATGAGCCGTTCCTTTTAAGCTTAGCTTAATTTACTTTCAATTTAGGAGAGGGAGACTAAGTTCATCAGGAGAGAGGCTGGTCATTCTCTGTAAGGAGCCATCGTGACCTGACCTCCTCCGTATCCAGACCTGAAAACCTGAGGCAGCTCTTTCAGGAGGCTGATCAGGTGGAGAAACACTTCCCTACAATCGTAGGTTTGACTCAACTCATAACAGCTCCTGTTTGAAAGAAAATGATTCTAAGTTCACGTATCTGATAATCAGAAAATCAGATACGGCCGCTCGCCTTGTAGTTGAAGATTTATGTGTAATCGAGTTCAAATCCTGATTAATAAAATGAGGGGATTTCTGTAGCCGGCAACCCCTTAGCAGGGAGAGTAAATTCCATTCCAAAAGGGAAACTTTTGGCAGCGATATTTCAGGCCTTCTGAAACTAGTAAAAGAGGAATATGAGTGAGGTTTCTTAACAAAGTCTCAGTTCTCTTAATTAGGGAAATTGCTGAGACTTAACCTCCACGGTTGTGCGGCTCATGGTGATTGTAAAGTTAATCCCATCTCTTGAACAACAGAGCCTTCTGTATGATGATGTATGAAGAAGAATAAAGTCTGCTCTGCTGGCACTGGGTGCTGTCTCATTCTGTGGTCTCTGGCCTCGGGGGGAAGTGGCTGGGGTGGAGAGCGCCCCCCACACACATGAACCCAGCACCGAATTCTGTCCCACTTGGTCTGTTCCTCAGAGTCCAATCCTCCAGGGTCGCTGAGCCTCCCTCCATGTGTGCCCGGTGGCAGCGGCCATGTGCTGTTCTGGTGAGGTTTTCCCTCTGGGTCAGTGCAGACACACTGTTCACTATCGTCCCGTTCAGAATTGTATTCCGCACTTAACCCTGGGCTGGGGTCAGGGATACGAAAATTCACACAGACCCTCCTCTGTCTTGCATCTCTAATTGCAGTGGGCTTCCTTACACTGCCCTCACCCATTGTTTGCTGAATAAATTTGTAAAAATGAAAACTCAGTGTCGTCCATGTGATTCTAGCTCATATTGTTAGGTGCTATCAAGCCAATACTACTCACAGTGACCCCTGTGACCAGTGAATCTGACCCTATCTTGAGTCATCCTGACCTGGCGTAACTGAGTCAGTCCCCTGTTACAGCCACTGTCAGCCCAACTCGTTGGGGGTCTTCCTCCTCTCCATCTTTCCCACCATGATGTGTTTTTCACTGACAGGTCTCTCCTGACAACATGCCTGAAGTGTATGTGACAAGCATTCACTGCCCTTGCCTCTACGGAGCACCCTAGTTGCACTTTTTCTAAGACAGCGGTTGGTTCTTTTGGCAGTCCATGGAATATTATGTGCTGTCGAGTCACCTGCGACTCGTAGCGACCCTATGTCCAGCAGCTCTGAAGCCTGCCTTATCCTGAGCCAGTCTCACTGATTCTGACATACCCAACTCCATTGCCCCAGTAACTGTATCAGTCCATCTCATTTGGGGTCTTCCTCTCCTGAGCTGTCCCTCTACCTTTCCGAGCATGATGTCCTCCAAGGACCAGTCCCTTCTGGATACCTGCCAAAGTATGTGAGACGGAGCTTCAAAATCCTAGCCTCCAAGAAGAAACCTGGTTTCACCCTCTCCAAGACAGACCTATTTGTTTTCTTGGCGGTCCAGGGTATGTTCAAGACTCTTCTGCACCACAACTCAAAAAAGTCTTCTGTAATCCTTAGTCATTGTCCAGCTCTCTGAAGCATAGCAGTAATTGTGAAGACCATGGCTTGGGTTAGGCACACCTTAGTCTCTAGACTTACATTATTGCTTCGCAGTACTCTGGAGAGGCCCCTGACAGCACATTTCCCCAATACAATTAGTCTTGATTTTCTGACTACTGGTGCCAAGAGTGTTGACTATGGAACCGAGCAAGCTGTAACTGTTAACTTCAATCTCTTCTCCATCTATTATGGTGCTGCCAATTGACCCAGTGGTGAGAATCTTTGTCTTCTTGATGTTAAGTTTCAATCCATGTTAAAGACTACAGTCCCTGACCTTTTGCAGGAAGTGCTTCTGGTCTTCCTTAGTTTCAGCAAGCAAGGTTGTGCCATTTGCATAATGTAGGTTGTTGAGTCTTTCTCCAATCCTGATGCTATATTCCTCCTCATAAAACTAACCATGGGCTATTCAGTCAACACCACAACAGCACCACCAGTGAAAAGCATCAATTTGTCTTGTCATTCACTGTTTAGATGCCAAGGAAGCAATTGAAAATACCATGGTTTCAATCAGGCTACATGGCCAAGAAACTTGTCTGTAGGGTTCCCATTTGCAAGCCTCTACATCTTTCTCTGCAGAATACCTGCTGGGCTTAAACAGCCAGTCTTCTGGTTACTGAGTCCTTAATCATTGCTCTGGTGCGCTTGTATATGGTAGAGTGATGATGCATCCACATTCTGAAGGCTTGGGGTTCGGGGAGGTCAGCACCTGGGGCTTTCATGTGGGTGACTGTGGCTTACCTGCAGTTTGTTTCAGCAGATGCTTCCTTTTCTGTCTCTTCCGTCCACTGAACCGAATTTCTGGTAATCTTTCTGTCCTACAGAAACTCACCCTCAGGAAGACTTTCTCCTGGGAGTCAGAACTGTTGAGCGGCCACAGGAGGGCCAGGGTGCCACTGAAACCACCACCCCAGGTCAGCCCAGAGAGTTGGTCCCATGCAGCATGGGCATTGAGGCTCTGGGAGTCCAGCGGTTCCCAGGGGAAAGGGCCCGCACGTGTAACAGCTCCCCGTAAGCCCTTCACAGCTGAGGCACTGGACTGCTGAACAAAAGGTTTTAGTCCTCTCAGAGGAAAGGCTTGGCAATCTGTTGTGTGCAGTTGAGTAGAAATGGACTCATAGCTGACCCTCCAAGTGGAGTTTTTCAGAGGCAGTAAATCACATGGGAGGAGATTGCCCATCCAGCCTCCTATCCAGCCTCCCATACAGATGCTAATGGATTTGAACTGTGGGCTTTGGTGATTGCAGCACAGCTGCCAGCGCTCCCTACTTAGGAAAATTAGCTTAAAACTCCCTCGCAAGCACAAGCTGTCTGATGCACATGGGGATGTGAAGAATTGGGGTCAACTTGATGGCAATTCATTTATAAGCATTGATTGACTGGATTTCACCTGTCTCACTTCTTGTTCTGTGAACAGGCCACTAACCAGAGAGGGACATAAGAAAACTGGCAAGAAATCCCCCTGACATGTTCACAAGGTCTTCTCACAGTTGTGCAGATCCGGGAGGGTAAATTCATGTTGTCTGTCCTTGAATCCCTCCACTTAGCAGCCAGCCCGGCTCATGGGGTGTCTTTTCTTCTCCCCAACACCACTGAGGACAGCAGTGGCCCATGCCCTCGGGCTTAGTGCATGCTATGCCCCTCACTTTACACGTACTCTCTTAGGAGAGGTGGCTCTGGGGTTACTCCATCTCCAGATGGGATTGTAGGCATAAGGGCGAGCCTGAACATAGGTGGATGGCAAGGAGGTGTGGGATTGGTGACCAGAGCTACAGAGGTTTTCAGTCTGTTATTCACCTGAACAACCGTTGAGCACCTCCTCAAGAGGTGATGCCCCCTCAGGTGTTCTCAGCCCTGGGGAGAGTGAATCAGGTCAGATTTGGTCACCTCTGACAGCGAGGGATAGTGAGGGACAGCTGGGGAGTGGTCAGCTGTGTCATGTCAGGAAGACAATTAGAAACCAGAGTCAGACGGAAAGCAGACAGCAGTGTGTGAGTCTAGTCCACCAGCCAGAGCTGGCAGTGAAGTGAAGGGCGGGCGACTCAGGGAAGCTGGGGAAGTACTCATAGGCATACCAGACCTCAGCCACCCAGGGCCCCGGCCAAACGATGAGCATGTATAGTCTCTGACCTGGGGGACTAGACTCAGCAGAGGCAGGTGGGGACCAGTCACAGGGAGGGATAGCGATGGCCTGGCCTGGGGGCGGTGGGGCAGGAGGTGCAGGACGCTGGCGTGTTCGGTTGGCAAAGCCCTTCAGATGGATTGACACCTGCACATAGGTGGGAGAGGGGCAGCCTCCAGAGCGTGGCCCAGCCTGGCTGGGGGATGCCGGTCAACAGGGCTGGGGAGATTCTAGGAGGAGCAGTGGGAGGGTGGGAAGGAGGGGCATATTAGCTGCAGTTACACCATAATGGCTTGGTGGAATGAGTGTTGGATAGACGAATCCAGCATCCCACGAGAAGAGTAGGCTTGGGGAGGGAAACTGGGAGTTTTGGGTGAAGGGATGGGGTCTTCAAGGGTGTGCCCTGATGCACAGCACTCGGGAGGGTACAAGGACGTGCAAGCACCCTGGAAGCCAGATGCAGAGAGCTGCCCACAGGCGGAGGCAGAAGAGTGTCGTTGCCCTGTTTGTAGTTGATCCCCCCTTCCTCCCCTAGACTGTGACCCTTGGAAGTGGAATTGGGGTGTAGAGATGGCGCCGACCTCCAACTCTGGAGGCTCTCAGGCTGTGGTGTGCTCCCACCTCCCACCACCAGAGGGCAGGGTAGGGTGGGCTTTAACTGGTTAACCAAGGTGTTGGCGGCCATGAGTGAGTGGGGGCCCAGGGGTGGGTGAGGACATCTTCTCTGCTCCCCGAATGAATTACCTCTTGCCTTCGCCTTGTTTTCCTCACCTCCCTCTTCAGACACCCTTTCCCTTCTCTTCCTTCTCTCTCCTTGCAGCACCTCCCTACCCTTCCCTTCTCCCCCCACACTGACCACCTGGAAGGTGTGCCTCTCTGTCCCCTCTTTTCTGCTCTGTCTGCCTTCTCCAGCCTGTGTCTGAGGCCGCTGCACCTCCCACCCTGGCCCTGGCTGGTGTGA